AGCAACTAACTTGTGAACACTGATTTTTTTTCTTTTTTCTTTTTTTGAGACAGAGCCTCAAGCTGTCCCCCTGGGTAGAGTGCCGTGGTATCACGCTCACGGCTACCTCCAACTCCTGGGCTCAAGCGAGTCTCCTGCCTCAGCCTCCCAAGTAGCTGGGACCACAGGCGCCCGCCACAATGCCTGGCTATTTTTTGGCTGCAGCTGTCATTGTTATTTGGTGGGCCTGGGCTGGATTCAAACCCGCCACCTTAGGTGTATGTGGCTGGTGCCTTAGCCAGTTGAGCCACAGGCGCTGGGCCTGGACATCGATTTTATATCCTGGGACATTACTGTATTTTTTGATGACCTCCAAGAGTCTTGTGGTTGAGTCTTTGGGGTTCTCTAAACATAAGATCATATCATCAGCAAAGAGGGAGAGTTTGACTTCCTCTGCTCCCATTTGGATGCCCTTTATTTTCTTGTCTTGCCTAATTCTATTAGCTAGAACTTCCAGCACTATGTTTAGCAGTAATGGCAATAGATGACAACCTTGTCTGGTTCCAGTTCTAAGTGAAAAAGCTTTCAGTTTAACTCCATTCAGTAAAATATTAGCTGCGGGTTTGTCACAGATGGCTTCAGTCAGTTTAAGAAATGTGCCAACTATGCCTAAACTCTTCAGTGTTCTAATTAGAAAAGGATGCTGGATTTTATCAAATGCTTTTTCTGCATCTATTGAGAGGATCATATGGGCTTGATTTTTGCTTCTGTTGATATGGTGAATGACGTTTACGGATTTATGTATATTAAACCAGCCTTGCATCCCTGGGATGAAACCTACTTGATCATGATGTATGACTTTTTTGATGATAAGCTGGAATCTATTGGCTAGGATTTTGCTAAGAATTTTTGTGAAATTCAGATGCATTTGAGTGAAATTGGTCTGAAATTCTCCTTTTTAGTTGGGTCTTTTCCTGGTTTTGGTATCAGGGTAATGTTATTTATTTTTTTAGAGACACAGTCTCACTTTAGTGCCCTTGGTAGAGTGAAGTGGCATCAGAGCTCACAGCAACCTCCAACTAAAGGCTTAAGAGATCCTCTTGCCTCATCTTCTTGAGTAGCTGGGACTACAGGTGTCAACCAGAACACCCAGCTATTTTTTTGTTGCAGTTTGGCCAGGGCTGGGTTGGAACCCACCACCTTAGGTATATGGCGCCAGCCCCCAACCAATGAACCACAGGTGCCACCCAATTTACAATCACTTTATTTTTATTTTATTGAGACAGAGTCCCATTCTATCATCCTGGGTTAGAGGGCCCTGGCATCACTGTAGCTCACGGCAACCTCAAACTCCGGGGTTTCAGTGATCCTCTTGCCTAGGCCATCAGATTAGCTGGGACTATGTGCGTCTGCAACAAAGCCTTGCTAGTTTTGTGGGGGTGGGGGGGGTTTTCCATTTTCTAATTTTAGTAGGGACAGGGTCATTCTGTTGATCAGGGTGGTCTCAACTCGTGAGCTCAAGCAATCCACTCGCCTGGGCCTCTCAGAGTAATAGGATTACAGGCATAAGCCATTGCGCCTGGACTGATTACAATCCTGGTAATCATTTTGACACCTGTTTCATGATCCAGAACCTGATCAACCTTAATGCACTGTTTCATATGCACTTAAAAAAGAACGTGTATTCTGGCTCAGTGCCCATAGGTCAGCGGTGGTTAGGGCATCAGCTGCATACACCAAGGTTGGCAGGCTTGAACTTGGCCTGGGCCTGCTAAAAACAACAATGACAAGAACAACAACAACAAAAAAACAGCTGGACATTGTGGTAGGCACCTGTAGTCCCAGCTACTTGGGAGGCTGAGGCAAGAGAATTGCTTAAGCCCAAGAGTTTGAGGTTGCTGTGAGCTGTGATACCACAGCACTCTACCAAGGGTGACATAGTAAGAATCTGTCTCCCCCTCCCCAAAAAAAGTGTATTCTGCTATTATGGTTGGGTTGAGTGTTCTATAAATGTCAATTAGGTTGTATGTTTATAGTGCTGCTTAGGCTTCTATAGCCATGCTGACTTTCTGTCTTTATACCATATCAAGTACTGAAAGGAATGTTGGCATCTTTAATTATCAATTATAATTACCTCTAATTATCTATTAGTTTTTGCATTGGCTATTTTCAAGCTCTACTATTAAGTGCATGTATTAATAAATGTAGTTTTACTTTGTCTTTTCTTTTTTTTTTTGAAACAGAACCTCAAGCTGTCCCCCCGGGTAGAGTGCCGTGGCATCAGAGCTCACAGCAACCTCCAACTCCTAGGCTAAATTGAGTCTTCTGCTTTAGCCTCCCAAGTAGATGGGACCAGAGGTGCCCGCCACAATGCCTGGCTATTTTTTGGTCGCAGCCGTCATTGTTGTTTGGCGGGCCCCGGCTGGATTCGAACCTGCCACCTTAGGTGTACGTGGCTGGCACCTTAGCCACTTGAGCCACAGGCGCCAAGCCTACTTTGTCTTCTTGATGAAATAACTGCTTTATCATCATGAAATGGCCTTTATCTAATATTTCTTATTCTGAAGTCTACTTGTCTAATAGTAATAGAACACTCCAGCTTATCCTTAGTGTTTACATGCTTCTGCATGGTTTATCTTCTTCTATCGTTTTAATTTTAATGAATCTGTGTATTTATATTTAAAGCATATCTCTTGTAGTTGATGATATAGTTAAATCTTTTTTGTTATCCAGTCTAATAATGTCTGTTTTTTAATGGAGCGTTTAGACCATTTATATTTATTATCAGTATGGTCAAGTTTAAGTCTATCACCTTACCTTTTATTTCATATTAGTCTCATTAATTAACTTTTTTTCCTTTTTTTTTTTTTTTTTGAGACAGAGTCTCACTATGTCGCCCTGGGTAGAGTGCCGTGGAGTCACAGCTCACAGCAACCTCAAACTCCTGGGCTCAAGGGATTCTCTAGCCTTAGCCTCCCAAGTAGTTGGGACTACAGGGGCCTGCCACAATGCCCAGCTATTTTTTGTTGTAGTTGCCATTGTTGTTTAGCAGGCCCAGGTCTGACTCGAACCTACCAGTCTCAGAGTATGTGACTGGTACCATAACCAGTGTGCTATGGGCACTAAGCCAATTCTTCACTTTTTTGTGGCTTCTTTTAGAATGCATATTTTTAAGTCTGTTTTATTTCCACTATTACTGTATTAGCTCTACTTCTTGAAAAAAGTTGTTCAGAAAACATTATACCATTCTACTCTCATACAATGTAAGACTCTTAAAATAGCATGCTTCTAGTCCTCTGACCATCTTTTGCACAACTGTAGTTATACATTCACTTCTATACATACTATTCTACAATAAGGGTATTATAGTCTTTGTGCAGATCCACTTTCCATCTTTTGTTTTGTTTTTTTTACTTTGTCACCCTCAGAAGAGTGCCATGGCATCACAACTCACAGCAATGTCAAACTCTTGTGCTCAAGTGATTCTCAAACTTTAGACTCCTGAGTAGCTGGGACCACAGGTGCCCGCCATGACACACAGATACTATTTTTAGAGACAGGGTCTTCCTCTTGCTCAGGCTGGTCTCAAACTTTTGAGTTCAAACAATCCACCCACCTCAGCCTCCCAGAGAGCTAGGATTACAAGTGTGAGCCACTGAGTCAGCCCCACTTTCCATCTTCTATCATTTTTTACTATAACTAAAACAACTTCCTTTATTTCTGACAGCAAAGGTCTATTAGCAGCAAATTTTCCTTTCATTTTTCAAAGACATATTTGCTAGATATAGAATTCTAGGATACCAGTTATTTTCTCCCATCATTTGAATGATGCCATTCAATTGTCTTTTGGTTTGCATTGCTCTAGCCGAGAATTCTGTGAATTCTTTGTTCTTCTGTCTATATTGCATCTTCATTTTTCTCTTTATCTCGTTTTCAGATACTTGATTATGACATCATGTCTCGGTATGGTTTTGTGTTTATCCTATTTGGAGTTTATTGAAAATCTCAGATGTGGGTTTAAACTTTTCATTAAATTTGGATGAGGCTTTAAAACTGGTTCCCAGCCCCAGATGGTAATTCACTCTTTTGGCTAAAATCTG